GTTGCCAACCCCAGCCCTATATTACAAAGCAGTGTTCCCCAACCACTGTGATGTGACACATAGGTGTGCCCTGAGAAATGATCAGGTGTGCCATGGAAGATTATCTGGTTCCACCTGATTAGTACTCTAAGCATTTGGCGTGAGTAATGGGCAGAACAATTACATTCTTTTCCACTAGAGGGCAGTAAAAGTATATACTCTAATTAAACGGGTTGCCAACTGCCAGTAAAACAGAAGATGACAAAGAAGGAATTACATGATAGTCATGTTGTGAAACGACCAGCGCATAGTAGCAATAGATAAATATTTGAAAAGAAAAATAGTCAATCTATCCTGGCTCCTGGAGAAAATTCCAATCCAGATGAAGGCCCTCGCATGAGTAGTGAAGAAGAAAGCAAAAAAGGTATATTGGGGACAAACTGAGCCAATTCCGCTATTCATGGTACACAGGGAAATATTATCAATATGCTTTTTGTGACGTTTTTGTTTGGTGGTGTGCCGTGTGATGTTTCCAATGTGAAATATGTGTAAAGGTTGGGAAATATTGATATAAAGTATCCTGGTTACAGTTTTTCTGCACATGTTTTGCACAGGTAATAAAATTCGTGGCTGTCACCTTTACTTGACTGAAGGTCACAGTTTGCTATTGCAGAGTATATTCACTGTCTTTGCTGAAGCTGCTTTGTGGGCAGTTGTAAAATGGGGTGCAGAATAAATCTGATTTTTTTTTCAGCGAGCTTTTGTTAAACAGATTACTGACAATCTCAGAAGGTATTTCAAATATATTCTACACTTTATATCTACCTTAAGCTTGAATCCAGCAACCCAGATCACTATGGAGTTTCCTGTGATGCCAAGCACAACAGTGAGCGTGTACAGGATGATGCTGACATTGACCAAGCCAGCACTCACCACCTTAGTTGCCTGGTCATCCTTAGAAAAGGTGAGTATGTGCGTGGGAAGAGAGGCATTGGGAAACATTGTGTGGCTGAAAACGACAGAACAGAAGAAAAACAAGTTATTCAGCATGTCTCTCATGACTTAACAGGAAGCACCCAGCAGTTTTTGTGATTTTTTGCATTTTAAAGATGGGTTAAGTTCCACTTTTACAGTCAGAAACATAGAACCAACTTAACTGGAGGCAAAGTTTTCTTGTATGCTTAGTTTATGTTTTATTGTGTTAAGTTCCCCTTCTTTCTCCATCATCCCTGTGTTTCCTGTGTGTCCTCAGTCATGTCTGTGCCTTACTTCACATCTCTTGCCC